TAGATGGCAGTAACTCATTTAGCTAACCAATAGATGGCAGTAATTCATTTAGCTAACCAATAGATGGCAGTAATTCATTTAGCTAACCAATAGATGGCAGTAATTCAGACAGACAGGGCATTAAGATTTGCCTTCCTGTGTCTGATTCCTTTGTTGGCATCTCGTAGCAGCGTCAGTGTTGGTTAAAGGCGGCTAACGTATACTTAGGGAGAAAAGCTATGGCGAGCTAGCTGAGCTAACGGTGCTAAGTGAAGCCAGTTGTAATGTCACTCTGCTGACCGTTTCTTCACAGTAAATCAAGTCAAACCTGGTTTCTGACACAGCGTAAAGCTGGTGTTCGGCATGAGACAAGAGGCCGTCCTATGATGGTGGAAATCTGGAGCGTCCGCTGACGGATCTAGCGCAGTTAGGAGAGATAACGCTTCCTAACGCCAAACGGCTCGTTATCGTCCTTCATCCCATAGAAACAGGAAACAGACAGGGGGAGCAGGAACAGAAGCAAAGGCTGGAAGGTAGCGTCCGGTCTGACGCTGGGAGAACTGGGAGGGACTGGGAAGTGTTGAAGAGTAGAGGCAGGCTAAGGAGTCCCAACTCACCGGTAGGAAGGCGTCAGCTGAGTCAAACTGGTAATCCAGCTCAGGATCTGAGTCTGCCTCCCTGAGGTGTGCGTATGAGGGGGGGTCACGGTCTTCCCCGTCACCTGAGAGCACCGTAGGAGCTGAGAGCGTAGCCGTGTCCTCTTCTGCCGCCATGGCGCCCTCTGGTGGAGCGTCTACTTCCTTTGACTTCATGCTGGGTTCAGAGGGGTTACGTAGAACCTGGGTGACCTCCGGGGGAGGGGAAGGCTCAGTGAGGGCCAGTTCTGCTACAGAGGCGGCGGTGGGCACCTGAGCGCCGGGCGAGGCCTGCGTTGGAGGCTCCTCAGCTTCCTGTGCATCACTAGAGGGAGACTCTGTGACCACCGAGAGGGTGGAGGCATCTGAGAGGATGAGGGGCATCAGGGGCTCCTGGTCTCCACTAAGACCATCGGCCCCAGTGGCGGGCTGCAGCTCTGCTGCCGCCACAGCAACGCTTGGCGTTACGGCAGCCTCTTCAGAATTACTCTGAGTGGCAACAAGCAGGTCATCCGGTGCAGCGGGGCCTTCAGGGGGCGGGGCTGTGCTGGAGGGCGTAAGGTACACCGTAAAAGGCCCGGTTGGGGGTTCAGGCCAGGCCGAGGTGGCTAGCTCCCAGCTGGTTGCTATGGTGACGGGAGCAGGGATTGTCGTGGCGGCGGTTGGCGGTGTAGTTGTGCTCATGGTGGGTGTTGTTGCTGTAGCCGCCGTGGTGACGGATGTGGAGATGACTTTAATGGTTTTGGTGGTGGGAGGAGGAGATGTGGGGAGTTTAAACTGGGGAGGGAAGGGAAGGGGGGGCATATGGGGGAGGGTGAGAAAAATCAAAATCTTGAAAAAAAAAATGAAACAAAACTAGAATAAAACAGCATGCAGACACCTTAGCGACAAGACTGGGAGCAAAACGAGCAAATTAAACGTTTTATTTAGAAAAATCTTAAAAGAGATATAATGAGTGATCATGATTTTAGACGAGCTGTTAGCATGACGGTGGAGCAGAGCGGGAACGCGTGTGACACGGCGCGGCGTGCGGCGCTGGTGTACTGGGACTTACATGCTGGTTGTAG